CACACACACACACACACACACATACACACACACCCTCCAAGACTACACACATGCACTCCACTCATTATCTCAAAGTATAGACACACAAATTCTTCCTATTTTTTACCCTTTTATGATTTTGTTTCCCCAAAAACATCATTTCAGGAAGCTGACACTATGGCTTTCCTTCTATATGCAGTTTACAAGAAAAGGTTTGGTGGTCTGGGTGACCTGGGTTTTATTTGATATTCTTTGGCTAAAAAATAAAAAATGACAGCCCAATATTCTCCCTCTGGTTTCTGGAAAAGTACCTCTGAGCTGCCACCAAAATGGTGCACGTTTTGCAGTATGACCATCCCTAGCTCAAGGAATGAATCATAGACCAACACCCTTCCTCCCACCCCCAGGCATTGCAATATATTGCTGTGTTCCTGATAACTCAGTGCCGCAAAATATCCTTGGGGAAAAAAAATCATGTCATAACCCCTAATTTTTTTTATCTCTTGGAGTCTTTGCCTTTTACAATATCAAGACCTGGATGAAGGTAAGCTCTGAACCACCCTTTTGAAAGGAGATGACCATATAATCCTTCTCAGTACAAATTTGGAGAGAAATTATTAAGAAGGGCTGATAATGCAAATGTTTCCTTCTGCAGCTCAGTTTCACGTTTTGGTCATTTCATCTGGTTATGAGTTTCTCCTAAATGTAAAAACAACCAAACAAAAAAGGTCCTTAAAAAAAGAGGAACAACTCTGTAATAATACTGCCTTGAGAAATTTTCAGAGTATATTGTTATTTCTCTTTTGTCTCTTGCCATGGGGACATTGAGGGCACACTGACAGTCATTATGATTATAARAGATAGACGCTAATGTTGGTTGTTCCAGATGTAATTTTGCATTTCTCAGAAGAAATAACTATTACATCTAGGATGGAAATTTGACTGGTGTCCTGTACTTAATGTTTTTCTTCCAGGTGATTCACATAACAGGTCGGCTACGCCTGAGAGTGTCGCTGTCCCATGGGAGGACCGTCCCCAGCCAAATCATGGGTCTTGTGGTTGTGGCTCATGCCTTGCCTCCCCCAACGATCAACGAAGTCAGAATTGACTGCCATATGTTCGTCACTCGTGTAAATATGGACCTCAATATCATTTACTGTGAAAATAGGTACTTTGTTTTTGTTTTCATTTGTCCTGTTGCACATTGCTCATTGGTGAGGGTCTGTGTTTTCAGCAGTCTGAAGGATTTTACTCTCCCAGTGAGGCTCATTAAAAATCCTGATCTTAGTTTTAATGGCTGCTTGGACTGACACCAAACATGCTTTTTATTTAAAATTTATATGGCTGCCCTGATTTACATTAGGGACAACAATTGAATGAATTAGGATACTCAGATATCCATCCACTATAGTGAATGGATGAGAACCCAAGGACAGAGCAGGGCTGGGGCATTGTTGGATTGGCAAAATGATGCAGTAAAAGGTATCTCCTGGTGCCTCCGAGAAGCCCACCCAACTAGTTCAGGGGCCCAGCATCATGATGGTGAGTGTTCACACAGAAAATAAGCCCAGAGGACAAATTAGAAGTTGAGGCCCCCAGAGGAAAAGCAATGCAAAAGGAATCTGCAACACTATTGAATACAACTTTATCATCCTGAGGATTTCACTAAATTAAGAAAAGATGAGTCATCACATGAATGAGTTGGCAGTTCTTCCTTAAGACTGAGCTTTTATAAAAAGACTTTTCACCTCTGGTTAAAAAGTTCACTTTTTCCATTAAGCACAAAGCAAGGGACAGGAAACTGGGACAGTKCCCCTTCAGACCTTTCACCTAGAAGTCACCAGCCCATCATCAGACTGATTTGAAGAGAGAATCACAGGATGTGGGGAGAGCAGTGAAAAAGAGCCCACATCTCAGCTTTGAGAAGGTAGCATGGTGATCCCGGGCATCCCCTGGTGTCACAGGGTCAGTTTGGGGAAGATGCTTTTGTCGCACAGATTGTTGTCAGGCTTGAAGGCAATATATATTCACTGAGCCCTCTAAGTGTCTTTGGAGGGGAAATGAAAGAGCAGAATGGTCAAGTGTCTTGAGTAATTGACCTCTCCAGAGGCTGACCCAGAAGAAGCTAGGCAGCCATTCAGTCCGCAGGGAGGTGGCTACAGAAATCCAGATCAAGTTAGAAATTGCCTACCGTTTCCATACAGGGTCTGATTCAGGGGAAGGAATTCACCAATTAGAAAAGAAACCCACCTGAGCTGTGACTGTTCAATAGAGTAGAAGATAGCATGAACCTCTCACTATTTGACAAATAATTCTAAGTTTGCTTTTCAACTTTTATTAACATTTACTAGAATTTTTATCATCCATGACTATATACTTGGCTATGTCTAAGGTATTCTGGAATGGCCACAGAATATTAGGGAAGACAAGTTAGCCACAGTGATTAGCTAGAGTTGGCAAGTAATAATAAATACAGCTGACATTTAATGAACATTTACTACATGTTCAGCCATGTGCAAATCTAATCATCTGCACCATCTCATTTAAGCTTCAGGACAGTTCCATGAGGTAGGTGCTGCCAATGTCTCTATCACTATTGGGAAATTTCAGCTTAGAGAGAAAGGATTTCTTGCCCTCGGCCAAGATTCAAAACCAAGTCTGCCAGATTCAAAAGACCATGCACTTGGCTACATTCTGTGGGGTCCAAATGGCAAGGGAGCAGTCAGAATAACCTCTGAGAGGGACTTTTCATACATAGACTCCATGAAAGAACACAATTACTGCCCTCAAAGCTGCTTAATTTTACCAAAATGTAGAATACTGGAGGAGATGCAGCCAAAAGWGGCAGATATGAAGTCAGAGGATGAATATATGATAACTCATTTGGTTGAGATTCACCATCTCCRGACCTTCCAAAAAATGGAGCCTCGGCTTATTTCCCAAATTTCCAGTGATTGCCCTATCCCAAAACATCACTTAATTTTCACTCCTGTGATCAACTGATTGATTCTTCTGACAAGTTCCATAGACCTGAGTGCCTCATGGTATCACTCCAGTAATTGAGATCATTTTCTATGACCTGCTTTTAGCTTTTCCTTTCCATTTAAAAAAAAAAAAAATGCTTTCCACATCCGCATATTAGTCAATACAATACCGCATTATTTCCCAACTGAAGATGATAGTAATTATGAAAAAGGCCTGTATTAAAGGTAATTGCATATTTGATTGACAGAAAAGGCATACAGTGTGCTAGGCCCTATGCTGTGTTAATTTCATTCCTTTCCATAATCCCCTCCCCACCTTGTGGGGTTACTTGACAGATGAGGAAACTGAGGATCAGAGTAAAAGATGCCTCGGGATTTCTGGTCTGCTGCTTCCTGTGCATTTAAGAAGTCCTTGACCACTGAGCTGCTCACCTTCACCAGGGTGACAAGCTCTGTTGTTTGAAGGATTTAATTTGAATAAATGATAAACTAAAGAAATACCTTCCCTAAAGATGGAGTGGCTTTTTCCTGGGGTTTGCTATGTAATTAGGGAATTGTTAACTAGAAACTAGAGCTTGCTCCTTGAGCTGCAGACCATTCTTGTGCACTTTGCCTAGGACAGCCTTGGGCAAAGCTGACATCTAATGCTTTCAGAGGAGCTGGCAAATTCAGAAACACCAAGGAGGGTCTTTTAATGACATCCTTGTTCCCTCATTTGCAGAAAGGGAGTGCAAAYCTCACTTGGAAGAACAGGCTAATGATTTTAGGAAAACACCAACTTAATCTATTTTGTAGCACAAAAMCACGGAATCCTTAGGAAACACTCCTTTTTATTTCTCCAATTAATCTTATTTTACTAAGAATTCTAGATGRACCAAAAAATATTATTTAAATTGTGAGTCATTGAGAAATTTACTTACTGAGTATTGTATTTTAATTATATTCCATAGTATTTYGGTTTTGTTTTTCTTTCTTATTTTTTTGCCTTGGGGGCCAGATGTAACTCCCCAACAGTAATCTCATATGTTGCTTAAATGTGTCATTTCCGAAGATTTATTTTATATTTAAATAGATCAAATGTCATAAACCATTAAAATACACACATACACACACACACACACACACAGAGTCAGGAGAATAAATTAAATAACAACCAAAAAAATACAGTCTATTTCAGATTGACCAAAGTGAATCTGGATTCAGTGATATAGAGGGTAATAAGCATTTTGACATGTTTGCGTAAACCAGGCAGATTCCCTCAACATGTTTTCCAATTTGGGTTCTATTTTTTTTTGTGCTCTGCCTGAGGACATTGACGTCTGGACAATCAATGACAGGGGCTTACACACACGTACCATCCAGCACAAGCCTGGGAGAGCTGCTGAAATGGTTTAAAAGTTTCTGTGTGGAATCTACCACAAAGTACCAGTTAAAAGAGCCAGGAGTGAAAGCTGAGCTCCCAACTGACTAAGACTAAAAAAGATAATACCCCCAGGCATCTGTATGTCTCAGCATTTAAATTATATCCCTTGAAATGCCAATTTGGACTTTGTGCCAAGAAGCAGTTGAAGCCTTTTTTCATGGAAATACCCAATAGAAGACCAATCTGTTTAAATGAAAGGTGTCTCTAATCATTTGGTATAAACATAGCATGTTTTTATTTTATTATGTAACCTTGAATTATCTTGGCCTGTAATGAGGATCTTGCATTGTTACTGATTCTCAATAATTCCATGGAATTATGTTGTCTAAATGTGTATTCTAATGCCGGGGGAGAAAAAAAAAAAGAGAGAAGAAAAGAAAATCCTATCTAATTATTTAAATGTAATTGCTTGAACTAGCACATGTCCTGGTTTTGAAAAATTCTGTTATATGCCAAAGAAATAATCTTACCTATAAGGGGTTTTCCCTCCAAGTGCCACGTCCTCACCAGTACCTGGCATGATGAAAGTGCATCAGTAGATTTATTATCGGACAGTCTCTCTATTTTTATTCTTTCCAAGTTCCATCCTGTGTCCTTCTCTTTGTAGGATTAGTGATTATATGGACCTGACCCCTGTAGACATCGTAGGGAAAAGATGCTACCACTTCATTCACGCAGAAGACGTGGAGGGCATCAGGCACAGCCACCTGGACTGTAAGTATCCCTGTGTGGGGGACGAACTGGGCTGGCATCATCTCTCTCTCTCTCTCTCTCTCTCTCTCTCTGATGCTTCTTTGGCTTCAGTGCTGATTTTTCCCCTTCATTTGTCCTGTATGCATTTGTGGTGTCTGTCAGCATGCCGTGAGAAAAAGTGAGACATAAATCATTTCAACTTGTGGTGGCATTAGATTGAAAGGTGGACCTCAGACCCTGAGAAATTGCTGGATCTTGAGATGCTCACCCAGAATTTTGTGGTCTCTTGTGCTCTCTCTCCCAGAAAGTGGTAGGGAACCCTCCGTCTTAAGTGCTTCCTTGACCCTTTCACTTTCTAGAGAGCAACTTCTGCTTGAAAATTTGTGTTCTCAGTTTCAAGCTGTACATGGAAGAAAACACGTTCAAATAGGCCAGATCCTCACAAAAATGTCTACCTGAGCAACCACAAAACCAGGTGGAGGTCAGGAAGTCCAATGAGCAGGGAAAGAACACATTATATGGTTACAGTAACTCTCAACAGCGGTGCCTTTTCTGTGCATATCTGGATAGAGGCTCTTCAGAGGAGCAGGTACATCCAGCCTCTGATTCCTGGAAAAAAAAAGAAACTAATCTCCACCCTTTGAGTCTTGTCTCCGAGCTCCTGACCTTYAGACTCAGTGACCAGGACCTTCTGTGGCATTCAAGCAAGCAAGACCAACAGGGTTCTGGTTGGATCCAAGCAATAACTCACACACCAGTATCATCATGCCCTTTTCCCTCAAAGCCCCGCGAGCTGTTTATTTATACTGTATGTGAAAGGGGTCTGACAAAAGCCCTGATCTGGTGGACCACCAAGGAAGGAGGTGCCCCTTTCTCATCAGAGCTCCTTTTTAATGACCATTCAACAGACTCTTCCTGAAAGACAACAGCTGGAGCAGCTACATTCCTAGAAGATGCTAAACCCAGTTCTCAACTCTGATTTTAAGTACATGCCAGGGGCACAAATGAAATGGCTTCAARTTGGAGGTTTTCTGTAGTAAACACCAGCCAAATATTTTTTTGTATTTGCCCCCTCTCCCCTTTCTTACTATGGTTGAGGAGAGCTATTTTGAATTCTTTCTGCCTTGGCAATCATTTCCTCATTTCAAACTCAGATCTTCAAAGGCAAGATGGAGACAGCTCTCCAAAGCCTCAAAATGTGCCCACTTTGTGCGGTGTTTTTAACCTTGAGTTAGACACTCTAGTGTAGGAGCAAATTCAATGTCAAATTCTATCTACTGTATCTCTGGGCAGAACTTGCCTGCAAGGCTGCTCTCTGGCACACTCCCCTTCTAACACTGAACCATGTGCCTTGATATTGCACACCAGGGATTTAGGGAACACACTTGTTGCTAAGAATGAATGGGTGCTGTGTATCACAGAAGCAGATGGCTCTTCAATTAATTGGGGAGGAAAATGATGTTGTTTCCTAAAATGAAACATCAAGTTCTTTGTTGCCTGGAATTAGGAGGAAATGGAGAAAACTCGGGATCTTTGAAGGAAGCTCTAGGTACATTTTTGGAATGAGATAAGCCTGAAATTCAAACTTTAAAAATGAATATATTGCTCTTAGGATACTTTTGTAGACCATGTGTGTGAGGACCAGATATATTTTCTCATTTGGGAATCTTAATTAAGGTCTAAATTCAGAAACCTGACACTGACAAAAAAGAACTTTGTCATCCTCTGTTATTATTTGGCAAACGTTATGCTATCTCTCTGGGATTTGATTTACAGCTTGAAGAAACACAGTTCCTCAGGCACAGTGAGCTAGAGCAATTCGTTTCTTCCCATACAGCAAAGGTCTCCAACAAATATGTTTGATGCCATTCTTTCCCATCTACTTTTATCTCATTTTCAGTAGCTGGAATAATTTGAGAGTGCTGAAAATAAACTACTCTACCATTCACTATTGTGCACTTCTCCTAATTTTTCTGGTGTCTTGCCAACTAATAAACAGAGAAAGTATGCTTTCAAATTCTGCGATTTTTTTCATTACTTGATATTGACATACTGGCTATTGCTTTTTTATGATTTAGCCTGCTAACAATGATTGAGTTCACTCTTTTAACTCATACACATGACTTCTAATTTTGAGTTCTTTTAATAACCTTAAACACATGAAAAACAAATAGAATGAGCTGATAATTCTGCACAGTAAAATACACTTCACATATTTAGCTATCATGCTGTGGAATAACTCCACAATGTCAAGTAGCACACAATTAGTAAAGCTGTAGGGGGAGGAAAAGGAGTGTTTTGATCCTGAAGAATTTTGATCCTAATCAGATTGAAATTTCAACGTTCTTGTAGTGCTTAATATCTTCAATCACACACACACAAAAAAAATCAAACTGATTCCAATGTCAGGTTTTGCATTCTGTGACTGAAAGAAAATGCTAAAATATACAAATGCATCTCGCTTTGTACAATAAACATTAACATCATTTTAAAGTAAGATTGAGTCTAAAATTGTGTGATGGAATGTCTGATGTTTACCTAATTCTCGAACCAAAGCCAGCCCAGTAACAAAATGACAGAGCATGTAATAAGTCTTGGTTGTGTAAACACTGGAAGAAACGGCAAAAAGCCAGCACAGCATCTTGCTTGTCCAAAGCCCTGGGCTATTACTAAAGGAGGCCTCCACTGTGTCTTGGTGGGAGAAGGTCATGGTGACATAGAATCAGTTCAAAAATAAGATAGAATTCTAAAACAAAGGGGTGGTTAAAAAATAAAACACATTAACTATTTAGCTTTTCTTCCTAGAGCTATTGGCACAATTCCTGGTTTTGTCCATGAAAGACAGATTTAAGACATCTGATAATACTTCTGATATTTGATAACTGTCTTAGGCTCTGGTTTATGGATAAAATCTAAAGACAAAAGGCTCATTCATCTTTAGTAACTAAAAATATCATCTTTATCACTGGTATCTTTTTTCCCAGCATAGGCATCCGTAAATCCATAAGTGAATTTGTTTCTAGAATAAGGAACATAAAGGGGAATCTCAGCAGCACCAGGATTTGACAACTCTGATAAACCCAACCAAGACTTGAGACCGTGTACTTCCCACTGGGTGAACACCAGACACCTGGTAGTTCACTGGATTTCAACATAAAGAATCACTAGAATCATGTTATGGATGCCAACATGGTGGGTTAGTGAAATTATTCTGGGATTCTAAAACCAAGAGAGTTTCAGGGCCCCTTCTTTCCCAATGTGACCAAAGACCTCTGTGATTTCTTTTCTTTAAGCCCAATTTCATTGATTCTTCAGGTCAAATTGACCAAATCAGCATTTCAAGGCTTGAATTTTAAACCACTCATATTAGTAATTATTTGGGCACCTTTCCCTCTCTATCACCTTTCTGATCTCCATCACTCAGAAAGTGCTGACCTAGAGACGAGCAGTCGTGACCCTGGAGTCACTTGCTCATTACCCAGAGCATCTGTGTCACCCTTGAATTATGAGAGGTTTCAGCACAACCATCTACCAATCTACCTCTCTCTGTAGCTGGGAAAATAGAAGGCTAAGCCAAACACAGACGCAGGCTCTGCATTTCTCTTTATTCCCATTTAATCCTGTCTTTTGTCTCTACTAGGAGCTGAATCTGTCTTGACACATCCACAGGGTTCTTCCTGGGTCAAATCAGCAACGATTCTCTAAAACCTTAAAGAGTGGCCTGGAGTGTAAAGGGGGAGGGGGGGGACTCTCTTTCTCCTTGTGACATTACACTCCAACAGCAAGACTCAAACCTCTGCAGCTGTGGGATTTCAGAGAAAAGTAGACACCGAGTATAGACGTGGTGGCAGCTTTCCCTTCCCAGCACCTTACTCGGGATAAGAAAACTCTGGAAGAATTATTCCAGAGAGAGAAAGCCTTTCAGATTGTCTAAGACACCAGGTGGAGGTTTTTTTTTTTTTTTTTTTTTAAAAAAAAAAAAAAGCATGACCACCCAATGTACTTGGAGGTGAGTGTTGAAAAAAAAAATACAGTAGTCTAAGTGTTTATTTCTTAATTACAAACTTCTATACTTCTTAACAAAACTAATACACAGCTACCTGGCATAATGCATTCCATGCTGTTTTGCATCAATAACCCCTACACTTCCCTCCTGAAGGCGTCTCATCGCCAAATGCAAGCAGACTGCTTAATGCAGGACTAATTAGTATATCCCCTTCCAGTCTGCGGGCCCTCCATTGTAATTCCTTCCCAGCTCATTTTTTTCCACAACCGAGCATCAATCAAAGTAAGTGCCCTGCCTGCCTAGGCAACACAAGATGTCCTCCATGCATTTGTCATCTGCCACACAAACAAAGGGGGAATTTAATTGTTGATTTGGGTATGCAGCCATTGCATGCAGCAAAGGAAGCTGCAAGTGAAGGAAGAAGAGTGAAGTTTGGTGGGTGGGCCAAATGCAGAGAGCACCCATGGGCTTTTTGCTATTGCCTGATCTTAGCCTTTCTTCAGGGCTGGTACAGCTTCAGGGATTTCACTGCAATCTGGGCATTGGCTGGACTTTTTCCCAAAGCAAATATTTTTTTTTCACTTCTTCCGTGTGACTATGAAAACTCCCACAGAAGGAAATGCATTTCATAGCCACCCTGTCTGCCTTTCTTCAGAAGCCAAGTCAGCCTACATCATGGGCCTGTCCATTAATTGAAGAGACTGTCACTGGGAGCAAGATAAAGCCAGATCTTTATCCAGGAGTGAATTAGTATTATTATTTTATGTCTCCCCCCCAAATTCCTGCCAGCTGCTGATTTGGGTTCTTCCCATCCATGGGCAGCAAGCACAGAGAAAAAAAGACCAGCACGAGAGCCTAACCCACAGCTGAGTATCCGCTCTACACACTGGTCTGGAACAGCAGTATTGACATCACCCAGCAGCTTACAGAAATGCAGAATTTCAGGCCTGCCCCAGACTTACTGAATCCGAATATGCAGTTAACAAGATCCCCAGCCAACTTTTCAAAGCTTGAG